GATGCGGCTTAAAGCTGCCCTGCTCGAACTCGCCGCGCCGGAGACGTCCAGAGACGACTGTGTTCGATGTGCGGCCAGACCGCACAACGCCGCGCTTGTTCCTCGAACAGACTGCGCCCCGAATACCTGTCACCGGCACACACCGTCCACGAAAATTCGTCATCGCCGCCAGACGGAACCATAATTTCGTTGGACGTTCCTAACGGGAGAAGCTCTGCTTTATCGTTGGCCTACTTATGCGCCGCGAATATGCAGAATCGCGAGCGTTTTTGCCTTCGCTCGTTCGTTTCTTGAGGGCGATGAAAGCTCAGGTAAGGAACAGACCCTTTTCGTGTTAGTTTTGGGTTAGTTTTAATCGTTGCGGAAAAATCCAGAGGTGTGTGTGTGTGTGTGTTGTGGGAGTGTGAATGTTGGGGAGAGAATGGAGAAGGTGCGTGTTTAACCCGTGTTTAAAGTTGGTCCGCAGGAGGCCAAATTTTGTTCTTAATATTGAAAATTGGGAAGTGAGAAATTAACATTGTAGACATTTTTGTGTGTCTACTCTCACTTTGTGGCCCTAGCTCGAAACCAACGCAGGTTTTAATATCTACGGAGCTTCAATTTTGATTTTCTTTGAAAATGATCTCATTTCCGTGATTAGTTCCATGATTACTTCGGTAATAACGTAATACGGATCCATGATCGTTACACACACGGTGTGTCATTGACCTCTTCGCCTAGGGGCGGCATTTCACGCTGTTTAGGTGTGTGATTCGCCTCGAATGGGTTAAAAAATCAAGAGTGTGGAGAGCAAGTGAGATTTGGAAGAGAGGAGACATCGAGTTGACAGCGCGGAAAGATAATTACTTCAAGTACACTTTCCTACCCTCGGTTACCATCAGTAATCCAAATCCCGCAGATATTCCTCCGCGAACCGAACAAGATGCACGTATATTCGAACGTTTTTCATTCGATGTTGTTGTTGAACTCTTACGACGAAGTTCTCGAGTTTCCGTGGAATCCATATGAAGCATGGAACAAGTTTCGAGACTCGACGATGATGAATTTCAGCCAGAAGGCTTCTCCTTTACCATAGAAGTTTTGTTCTCGAGTATGCTCTCTGCCAACGAGATAATCGAAGTGTTTCGCCAAGGCGTCTGACAAAGTGGCGGTGTAATAAGACATAACTAGATATTACGATTCAACGAATATTATTCGAAGAGGAGGCAAAACGAGAAAAAAAAAAGAAAAAGAAGGAGAAAGTGTGGGCATTTTGGGACGGTTTATGGCTTGGCTTGCGCCTCTTGGCGAGTGACAAACATCAGACGGGAGTGCCCATCGGTTCGGCCCAGCGATATTTTTGCCATTCGACGAGAGTCGGTTCTTAGCTTCGGTAATAGACGGACGCCGAAGAGTCCGAAGTAAACTACTTTGCACGACATCCTGATTTGAGTAAAGTTCATTAGACCACCTCCTGCAAAAGATTGGAGGAAGACTTAGGAAGACTGTGTGTGGGGTGGTCGGTTTGGTATTTCGTCGCTCTTTTTGCTCCGTTTGCCTTGTAGTTCGTCGAGAGCGAGAGTCACGGAACCGTGTGTGCCATTAACCCAAATAATTTTCGAGGAGTGGTCCTACTCTCTTCGCGAATTCTCTATCCCCTCGCTTTTCCTCCGACCTTTTCTGTGTGCACTCTCTCCTGTCGTGTCCTTTTCTGGAACACACAACAGGGAGACCAAGTACCTCGTCTAAAACGGAGAGGAAATTCTATTTGAAGATTTGCGAGCGTGACTACCTCTCGATATTACTACGAATGAGACAAGATAGTTTATAAATAAAGAAAATTCGTTCCAGTTTCGAGAATCGTACAGCGTCGTCACATGGTATCGAAATACAAATATCGACGAGAGTACGCGAATAAAATACAGCCACCGTACCGATGCGAATGCAGTAGAGAAAGATCTCCGGTTATCTTGGTGCCTCTTACGACGAAACAGGACGACGATTCTCTTACATAAATGACTGCGTTGCAGTTTTTAATAAACCCTGGTGAAACCGTGCATCTGGCGGATTTAACTGACCTGGATATTTATAATCCTCCTTCGAGGAATGCTACATTCGAGGTTCGTCGTTCCACCGAAAACCACGATCGTTCTTATTCCCTCCGCGCTATCGGTTATCCAACCCTCGATTACCAGGCTCATTAGAGGGACATTTAACCCGGTTCGTCTCTCGATCCACCGAAGGAGTTGAAGGTTAAACAATCAACGGGGTATATACTCGATGAATTATTCAATTAGCCACGGAGGACATAATTAGTTTCAATCTCGTTCCGTTCCAGCTTCGATATTTATTGAATGGCTTCGAATAAATAGTCCATTCAGAGGAAAGCTGTATCAGTTTCTGTCACATTGATGACACTAGACAGTGTACCTGTGATGGAATTTTTGTGCCTATTTAGAATTTTCGTGCGTTTACAATTTTTATGGGTGTTTCATTTGAAAGGAGACGCGGCGAAAGAAGAGTGTTTGTGACTGGGTATAGTCGGAGGAATAAATACAGCTATAGAAGCACGTTCTATGGTAGTACCATAGTACTATGGAATTTTCATGCGTTGAAGCTAGGTAGGAAAGTTGGTGTAGGATAGGCAGGAAAAGAAAGGTTAGGGCGTTTCGTCCTGGGCCTCCTAGTGGACTCGTCGGTAAGGCTCTCTAGGAGAACCGTGCTTTGGACGCGGGAGGGACTGGAAGGACTAAGGTCACAAGATGTATATATACAAATAGGAGCCTTTATGAGGACTAGCGAGAACCTGTGGTTAGTCCCGTCCCTCTGGTGGCCGAGCGTAGGAGGCTCGCTACAGCGTATTTAGTGCTTGTTTAATTTGGAAGGAGAAGTGCGAAAGAAGAGTGTTTGTGACAGAGTATAGTCTGAGGAATAAATACAGCGAGAGGTAGTTTTAACTAAGCACGTTCTATACTACCCAAATTTCCCCTATTTTCCCCGTATTCCATGCACCATCGAGAAATTCGAATTCCACGAACACCCGCAATAATTAAAAAACATTAATCGCTCGCGATAGAAAGCAGAGTTAGCTTTTTTCATCGGGCTGAAATTCGGTCTGATTGGATTAATGTGGCACGGGGAAACATTTGCATATAGACTTCTAAGCTTAGCCGCGATTTAATCGAATCTGTCGCGCTGTTTCGTTACGTCCGCGCGGCTCGGTTTCGTGTCAAGTTTCCCGAGTACAATCCGTGGCTCGATAATTATTTGCTTTAATTGTCAGCTAACCCCTTTCCACCTATCTGTCATCCATCTGCTACCAATCTAAATTTGTCAAGGCTGAATTATAATTACACTCGTCCTGCGGGAACTGTTCTTCCCCCCCTCCTTTTTTCACTCGCCTTTAACGAAGAACCTCGGCTGATCTTCTCTCGAGTTTCAATTAAGTAGTTAGCCACGATTACCGAAACGACATACTCCGGAGATTATCGAATGGAAAGTATTAGCCGGTTTTAACAGCGTTGCTTTTTTCCAACCGGCGAGCGATAACGACGTTTTAATTAAATTCGTTCCACGAAGAAATCGAGGGGCCACTTCGATTAAGGATTTCAAGGGTGCAGTTAATGATATCCGGCTTGATCTTTCTTCGTTTGTAAACGTTCCTGTTAATCCTGATCGTTGTTGGTCAACAGCGAAGGGAAACGATCCCGCGAATAAGCAGGCTGCACAAAGGCTCCCGCGAATTTTTCGTCGATTCTCCGGGAAATTATCAGGCAATTTCGGTAATTACAAAAGCATCGATACTCGATTAATTCGCCGAACAGTTCAAAGTGGTATCGCAACGTTCGATCGATCCGAGTGATTTTCCAACCGGAGGCTAAAATATCGCCCGCTTTTCCCCCCACTTCGTTCCAAATCGTATCAAAAATCGTTCATTCTCGTTCCGGTAGGATCGCTGATGTTACGCGATTACAGGCTACATGAGCATTGGTCGACAAAAAGTCCGGTTACTTCGTTTGAACCAGTTCTGCGCGTAGTGCAACTAGAAATCACAGTTGGCCAGGTACCGATCGTGGTTTTACACGGACGTGCGCTCAGTGTGGCCCGGCTGAAAAGCGATCGTGCACTAAAACGAGCTGGACCTGATGTCCTTTTTTCGCCCGTCAGACGGTAACGTACGGGCGAAACTTTACGCGAGCCCCCGCCAATTGACTTTCGAACTGGAACGCGTTTACTCTGGAACAGTTAGCGGACTTTGCCGTCAAACGGAGGCCCGCCGGGCGCCCTGGAAAAGTTGCGCCATTGCTCCGCTCCAAGATCCCTCTGTTCGCCGATTTCTGTTATCCCCGAGCATCTCTTTGCGCGGAATTTCTAGGCGCCGCGGCCTCGGAACAGGTATTACTCGTTTCTCGAAGAATCTCAGCAGATTTGTTAATTTGCAAACGTGTCGCTTGCAGAGAAGAATTCACGGTTGCTACCTTTCAACTGCTCTCTGTTTTTGCACGTGTGTTTTCTTGGTTGAAACACTAAGTTTTCTTTGCGCAGTCTGTGTTCTGACTTGTTTCGAGGTCTGGAGTCCATTCTGCCGGAGTCTCCGCGGTTTCCCTCGACGGAGACTCCCATTTTTCCTTTTCCAAAATCACCGATCAGTTTACTCCCTCCATTTCGCCCTTAGCGCGTTATCCTAGGGTGGGGATGCGTGGGAATCAAGTGGCCCACGTCTCGGAGACTAGGGACTAAGTGTCGCAGGCAACGCGATAAACACTTGTGGTGTTTTGAGGAAACGATATTTGCCTGCGACGGCGACCACTTGACTCGCTGCCATAAATCCGGTTACAGGATACGCCTCAATCGTAATATAATCGTAAAGCGAATAAAATTTTGATCTCTCCGTTTTATTTGCCTGCGACGGCGACCACTTGACTCGCTGCCATAAATCCGGCTACAGGATACGCCTCAATCGTAATATAATCGTAAAGCGAATAAAATTTTGATCTCTCCGTTCCCCCATCGTGTTTCAGAGGCGCGTGCCACGATTCCTGGACCCAGCTACGATTGTCACCGATGTTCGGCTGCATCTGTCCGAACAACCACATGAAGAGGCGCTGCGACAGGATCTTCTCGATGGTGAATCACAATCCGTGCGTTGGTGAGTATGAAATCGCGCCCGTTTTTCCATCGCAACCGTTTTTCTATACGTTTTATACATACCTACACACGTGTACCTACGTATACGTGTGTACATTGATCTATGTGTACGTACACGTGGTACATACAATATAATACAGGCATCCGTATACAGTAGCGCGTGTTACACTCGAGAACTATATATTTACTTGCTTCTGTGAAATTTGACTGATTTTATTCTGTTTTGGTTGTGAGTCGCCCTCGAGTCAGCCACACACTTTTTTTCTCAACCTGAATGATTGAACGAGTAACATATATATATACATTACATACGTTCGTTTTAACCGTATTGTTACTTTAGCGCACCCCCTGTGGAAGAAACGATTGTTGGTGTTGTGAAGTAAACGTCTGTAAACCTGTTTCTTTTCTTTAATGGACATCACACACACACACTTACATACCTTTCTCTTAATTTTTTTTATATACATATTATATATATATTTTTTGGTAAATTTCGTTGCGAGACTCGGTTGACCCCTCACCTTGTGTACATGTTTGTATCTTGTCACCGAGTACCACTTTATCTTTTACTTCGATCGATGTGCGTGCTTTCCAGAGAAAGAGGGAAAGCCACTCTGTCGATCCTGGATCGAAACGCCGCCCTCTGTGTAGGTTCGTAGGATTCCGTTATTGCTCAGTTAGAGATTGGGGATATTTTCGGGTATTTCAGGATCTGAATTGTTTCTCTCTATGTAGAATGGAAAATATATACGTCGTTCAAAATAAGTGTAACCTCGCTCTCGGACCGGTTCTCGTCCGTTCTGCGCGTAGACGGAGAGCGTAGCAGAGGGTAGGACGGAGAGAAACGTAGGCGGTTTGGACGTTCCAGCCCTGCCTTAGGCACGTCCCATGCGCGAAGCGAGGTTACTCTCATTTTGAACAGAGTAACGAAATTTTTCAGTTTCAATATTGAATTCAGAGTACCGTATTTCTCGGGCCATAAGACGCACCCCAAATTTATGAGACGATTTTTAGAAAAGAACATTTTATTAGGTGTATAAAGATATTCTCAAATTCTTACTTAATTTATTTATTAGCAATGTTCAGTTCATCTCCACTCTCGGTACTATCACCGGCGTGCTGTACTAATTCTATCAACATACTGCGCCAGTAATTGAACTTCTCTAATAGCTCGTATTCTAATGTTACCTTCGGACCATAAGACGCACTCCAATTTCAAGTCGAAGGAGATCCTCGTGGATTATCGAAGGGAGTGTTAGCAGGTCAAGAAGTTTGGCCGAAAAGCCGGAAAATCGAGCGATAACCACGGCGATTAGTTTGGTTGGCGGGCGCTATTTTTCGCCAAGGTTGCGTGGACGTCGAAGGGAAAGATACGAGTGGAAAAGGGCTCGACGGAGCAATTACTTTCAGCGATACCGCGGTGTTTAAGGCTCGTGGGACGATGTTATGGCCTCCTTCGGATAAGCTCCTTTCTCCTTAATTAACCAAAGGCCACCGGTATCGAGATATAGATAAGGATTTCATCGCGCACCAGACTCGACCTTAATTTCACTGAAATCCGGTGTCCCTTCCAGCGACCACATCTCTCCTCTCTGCCGTCCCTTCGAGCCTAATGACACTCGACCACCTATTTCTAGCCCCACCCTTCGTTCTCGATCGCGATCGACGATCGCCGATAAGATTGGAAACGTGTCGGCGAAATTTCACCTGTCCCCCGGTTTAAATTCGAGGAAAGAAGCAGAGGTGATTGTTACAACTGTGTATCAATTTCACGAGGATCTCTTTCCACTGTTTCACAAAAAAATATCACTTCGCACGATTCTGTTTTGCCGGCTTGATTCCAAATATTCGATGAATTTTTCCAATCAACGGAGAGAAAAATTTCACCATTACGATTCGAAAGGATCAAACGTTCGTTTCAATCCCTTTCGCCCGCGTGTACCATTTTTTTTTTTTCACATTTATCGAATGTATGTAACTCTTTTTATCTACAGAAATGAGTTTTTCAATTTGCGTGTTATACATTTACCTGTCCTTCGTGTTCCTTTTTTTTTTTTTTTTGTTCGCGGTACAAAAAGTAATCCCGCGAATCGAGAGCGATAGATCTATTTAAAAAACGAATTCTCGTTAGTCCACGATCGACAGGGTACCGATTCACGACCGCCAAGACCAGCGTAAAATAGTCAGAGGGTGAGAATTTCGAAGCGTTTACTTCTACGTAAGTACAGCCACACGAGGCGCATGTGCGACGTGCAAGCGTATGTTTTCTCTTCTTCTTTTAAGTGTGCGTTTCTCCTGTTCGTTTTTCAACCGAGCGAGAACTGATTGTCGTTGCTGGATAGACGAACGATCGCGAACTTTCTACGTTTTCAGCACAGAGGGACTAAACTGTACACTGTACGTTACCCTAATTCGCGTCGCGACAGAAGCTCCTCTGCGAGTGAAAAGAATGGCAAACGTGAGGACGGGCGGTTTATTTATCAATCGAAAATCGAGCACAATTACTGCGGTGACGAATGTTCTCTCCCTGTATCACGAGCAACAAGTTTCGATTTACGATCGAATCGACAAGGAAAGGACGATTTGAATAAACCTCGTCGCGTGTACGAAAAAAAAAAAGAATATCGACGTCGAATCGAGTGTCAAGTTGGGCGTGCAGCCCTGACCGAAGGAAAAGGAACCGGAAACGATGATCCTCGTCTAGCAGCGAGAATTGCGAAGCAGCTGACAGGGAGGAGAGAAAATAGTGGAAAAGAGAGGCCTGGACTCGGCGTGGAGATGTTGGAACGTGAAGGAACGTGTGCACGGGAAGCACCAGCACCCCCTAAGTACGCATTCCGCCCGAAGGATCCGCATTTCGAGATCGATCCGCACGATTTCCGCAATCTCTACACGCGCGTTTTTCGCTGCATTTCAAGCTCGCGTTCGCCTCCCGCCGTCCCCGATCGTCTAATCGAACTGGGTCAGCGCTTTTCTTTCTTCGCGAATTCCTGGATCGGGCTACGGTATTGAGGGGAACACGCGAGGCCAACGATTTCTATCCGCGGATGGAAATTAGCATACCTTCTCGCCTCTTTCTCTCTCTCTTTTTCTCCCCTTTTTTATTCTTTTTATCGCGAGGTGGGTTGTTAGTTGCATCGAGTTTATTTTAGACCAGTAAGTCTCTTTTCCAGGTCAGATTTCAATCGAGGCAAACGAAGTGTATAGTTTCCCTTTTCTTTTTTTAGCTGACTCTTTCAATTGTATTCTTAATTGAAGGGTGGGTTCACGAAGATAATTATCGACGCGTGTCGATACGAGGGATATTCGCGCTTCGACCCGTGAACAGAGAAGCGCGGATAAGAACCGGAGAACCTTCGGGCGTGAACGCAGAGGAGATTATGCACCGCATGCTATACTTTTCGCACGAGGGACGACTAAATTTTTTATTTAGAGCTCGTACACGTTCTCAGCCTGCATGTCGATAATTTTTTCTACTTCTATCCGAGGAATGTGCATGCCTGTCGATTAATCGCCTACTACGTCTGTCTACTCTCTGTTACTCGACTCACTACTCGCTCCCTTCTACTCCTCCTCTGTTTATTCTAGATACCGTCCAACAAACCGACTCTTCGTACACGATATATCACACTCGAACGAAAACTAGACAAAGAAAGGGGAAGACAAGTTACTCCAGCGAACGAATTTTTCCCTTTTCGCGTGGCATTTACCGAGAAGAAAAACTACCCTCGTAATTCTCCAGCCGTAATACTTGGCCTTTCGACCCAGGCTGATCTCTTTTTAAACATCCTGTCCCCGTTCCATAGGGCAGACGGGACTTTTCACACCAACAACAACACACCATCCAACCTGCCCTTTTAAACTCACCGACACGCAGCGACGCGTGTACAGATGAACAGTTGGAGGCAGCGAACCGCGACTCCGAGCGAGTCTCGAGGCGGCGCCAATATTTTCCTGGGCCAGCCGAGGCGAAGATTCGTGGCAAAGGAACGGAGAAGAAGCCGGGAGTCGAGGGTTAAACGAACCAAGTCGTAATCGGAATCGACGGGAAAGACCTCGAGGCTCCCCTTTGCCTCGTTCCTTCCTTGCCAACTCCGTCGAGCGACAAACGCCTGAGCAAACGCTCTCTCGCGCGCGACCACCCGCCTAGAGTTCCACCAACGATCCTCCAGAGAGAGTAGAAACGGATCTCGTGGCTCGATCAGCTTCCGGAACGTCTCGGGGACGATAATGGCCATCGACCGACCCTGTCGCTGGAGTAATTTGCGGATTACCTGCCTTACGCTGGCATTTCCCCTTTCCTTGTTTTCGTTCGACAGCCGTTCGTTTTTGGAAATTAACAGCGGTACCGATTTTTCTATGTATATCTTTCTATTCCGAACACCCTGTACAATCTGTTCATTTCCAGAACGTACGCTAGCGAAAACGAGTTTTAGTCGCGGTACACCTCTACCTCCGTGTAAGACTGCTTCAGCCGAAACCACTACCACCACCACAACCCTCACAATCACCACCACCACCAATCACCATTACGATGTCACGATGACCACAAGAGTAGCACGTAGCACGCGAAACCCGTCCGTGCACGTGTACCAAATGCGATCACGCACCCCACTCACCCCGTTCTCGTCCGCGTCTCTGCTTCTGTGTTACAGAGTTCCTGCCCTCCTCCACCTCCGTAGACCTGTCGGGCACGGACTCGGCCCTGTATCCGTTCGACCCGCAGCAGGAGAGCTACCAGGAGATCTGGTTACCGCCGACCAGTATGTACCCCTCTTTTCTGTTCCCCGGGGCCGCGCGCACCTCGTACTACGACCACGAGAGCACTAACGACATCCAGGAGCCGGGACAGAGGCGTCACCACGGGCATCGTCATCAGCACGGTCGTCATCAGGAAGCACCGGAATTGCCTGGCAGGCCCGGTGTACTCGTAGTCGAGACGTACGATCCTCGTGCCGATTACGAGAACCGGCAAGAGGCTCGTGCTGGTACCGACGACGAGCATCGGCCTCTGTACAGGGGGAAAGATGCGGATGATCGTGAAATGGAGGGACCTGGGAGCTTCTATGATCGCGACTCTTCTTCTTCTTCTTCTTCTTCTTCTTCTTCTTCTTCTTCTTCTTCTTCTTCTTCTTCTTCTTCTTCTTCTTCTTCTTCTTCTTCTTCTTCTTCTTCTTCTTCTTCCTCTTCTTCTTCTTCTTCCACGTTGTCCAAGCATGATCGTGCCTCCAGCACAGTGCACCTGCAGCCAAGGCACTCCCAAAGCGAGCATGACGCGCACCTGCACCATCATCACCATCACCAGCACCACCAGCACAACCCTGCACCACCCGCACCATCGTTCGTCGCGACGTCGTCCTCGTCGTCGTCGTCTTCTTCTTCTTCTTCTTCATCGTTGTCATCGTCGTCGTCGTCGTGGTCGAGTTATCCGCCGCCGGCTCGTCC